TTCTTAGGACCAGAAATCTACTGATGCTTGTGCAAGGTTTGCTTAGCTTGCCACAGCTAATGGATGAGATGCTAGGCCAGATGTCAGTTACACAACTGGGCATGTGACCAGGCACATGACTGAGACTTGCACCAGAGCCTTGTTAATTAGCTTCACTTAGCCATGGCAAGGTTATACAAACATTACATGAACACCAACAGCATTCTGATCAGTATTACACTGTGTTTAATTACCTGGACTCCTTGGAAAATTGCTTTATTCATATATTATCTATTAATATATTAATTTTTATTATTAACAATGCAACTATATTATCAACACACTGAGAGCACTAGCAGTAGGCTGTGTTTTTCTAGTGGGAAGGGGCTGTTTACAAAAACACAGAACTAATCTAAAATGAGAATGTGTCTCCAGAAAGAGGCATAACTGGTTGTCACTAGAAGATTTCAAACAAAAACAAACAATTTAAATTTGAATTCCATGTGTGGACCAGTTTTTGCAGGATTTATATTCAAAACATTGATGTGTACAGTCAGTAGCATGTTCTCAGTATGAAATTAATATGATTAATAATATCCAACACATAAAAGAAATAAGAGATATCTAGCATATATCTAGGGTAAGTTGTATTTGTCATCACTGATGTTTCCTATTTTAATTTGAACAAAGATAAAACATCACCGTAGGAATGTTAGTACTGTAATACAGAATACCACGTATATTGTCATCACAGCAATGGAAAACTAAGTAGAGGGTCCATTGTAAGAGATATCTAGCATATATCTAGGATAAATATCTGTTGTATTTGTCATCACTGATGTTTCCTATTTTAATTTTAACGAAGATAAAACATCACAGTAGGAATGTTAGTAATACAGAATACTACGTATATTGTCATCACAGCAATGGAAAACTGCTGAACAGCTTCTCAACAGTTAGAGAGTATAATAGCAGGCAGGAATTCACCAAAAAGTGACACTTTAAAATTTCTTTTATTTGAATGCAAGAGTTAAAGATGGGCTCATGTATGTCCTGCAGAAATCAATAGGATGTAAAAATGCATTGATTCGAGAGATCACATTGATGTAAAAACACTTTAACTAGTTTGTGCTCTGTGCATGTTGTCCTTGTTACAAGAATTCTCTTAGACGAGTAATGATTTATTAGTATATGCAGCTTTCAATGGCAGCAAAACTCCTTTACAAAGCTATTTGTGAGGTTGCTTAACTGACAGGTTAAGGTCTGCCTCCCACACACTTGCAGTCTGTGTCGAAACAAACTGTGTCGAAACAAATAAATCAGAAATTGGTACAAGTGACTAGAATTCACAATAACAAACTAAGTTTGAAGTCTTCATTTCCTCCTTTCCTTTGGCATGTTTTTTCTACCTGAACTCTCTGCTACATACAAACAAAATTTAAAGGGGATAAACAGGCAACCCCTTCCCTGAACTGTGGAATAATCAAATAATAAAAGTCCTTCATATGGCTTTCGCTAAAATCCTGTAATCATGATGTGATAAAATTAGTGTACTAAATGTTACAACACCCTGATCTTACTCTGTTTTGTGAATTGTTATAAACTTTCTCCCTTTTCTATTCTTTTCTCTCTTTTCCCCCTCACATATTTAACTCTTGCACATTCAACTTTTTTTTTTACAACACACCACTGGAACATTTCAGCTAAGTCTCAGATGCCGGACACGATTCCCACTCCCCTTGTCCTGTAGCAATCTTTCTCTGTAACAAAGAATTTTGCAGTTTGAAACAGTATTTGAAGACACTTGATAGACAACTTGTGAAGTAAATCCTAGTCTCTCCTCCCGTCCTTTATTGATTTGAGAAACTAACAGCTATTCCCCCATACTTGAGCTGTACCTCATCTTCCCTTCCTTCCCTCCCCCCTCTTTTTGTAGAAAAACTTGTACACAAATACTGTACACATACACACCTCTACTAAAAACACACACAGTGTATTGAGAAAAGCCTGCTGGAATATGCCACAGAGACTACATGCAGTACAATAAATATGACACACACACACACACAATATTTATTAAAGAACACAGCTGGCTGGATAGCTGGCTGCAGAGCCAGAGGTTGGGAGTTCTAGTTCCCTACTCTACGTCTCAAAAGAGCCTGCCTGTGTGGCCTTGGGCAAGCTGCACAGTCTTGGGCAAGCTGCACAGTGGTTTACCATCCTCTTCTTCTGGGGGAGCCCTGGAACTCCAGGGCTCCCCCAGAAGAAGAGGATGGTACCTAAACCACTTCTGTGTATTTTCTACCCAGAAAACTCTAAGTCAGAAATGAATCAACATCACAGCACATGCAAAGGAACAAATGGATAAAACAAATGGATAAAAGCTTCAAATACCAGAAACAGATGAATCAACTTCACAGCACATGCAAAGGAACATGGATAAAAGCTTCAAATACCAGAAACAGAAAATAAAAAGCATCACACCATAAAAACAAGACAGAGCAAAAACACAGGAAACAGTTTGTACATAAGATCTCAAGAAATAAAATGAGATTAAATTTAATTCAGTAGAAGTTAAAGCAAATAAATAGATCCTAACAGGTCCATGGAACCTAGTAAGAAAGATGCCAGGCTCACTTCTTTGGGGAGGGTACTCTCAGAGTAGGATACAACTCAATCGAGACTTTCTTTTTGATCGCCACAGCGTAATCTTATGTAAGCCTATGAGAACTACACTCCAATGAGTTTAGTGAGGGGATTTCTCCTACTTCTACATAAAAAATAAAGAGGACTGTACTGATGAATCCTATTATGTTTGCCAGCATAACACCCACACAACTTTCAGTAACAGACTGCTATGCAAAGTTCATTTAGGCATTTCCGAATGCACACGTGAGCTGGTATGCAAAAAGAAGAGCCCACTCTTAGTTTGTGGCTATTTGCTACTGAAATTTACATCCTGGCTATATGCTTACAGAAGTATTCAATAGAATTCTGGTCAGTAACACACAACCATGGCATTACTTTTCGAACATTTGCAGTGAATTATGCTGACACGACTCACTAATTCAAAACTGAACAGCATTCAAGTCTTCAAACCATTTCCATTTTGCTTCCCTTCCAAAAAACAACCAGAGCTTTGAGGATGATTCACAAAGGTCACAAAGGGTCAGAAAAATACCATTAACATCCACTTATGTCTGCCATCAGAAGGCAACAGCAAAAGGGTCAGGAATGAAGTTTTAGTGTCTTCTCTGTGAAAAGATCTGGTTTTACAAGATCTTCTGCAGACAATTACCCTTCTTCCAAAGCACTGTTGGCATTTTGCTTTTGTTCTCCCCCTCCTCCCCCTACAAACACACAAATCGTGAAAAGATCTGGTTTTACAGGATCTTCTGCAGACAATTACCCTTCTTGCAAAGCACTGTTGGCATTTTGCTTTTGTTTTTCCCCCTCCTCCCCCTACAAACACACAAATGCAAAAATGTCCATCGGACTTCTCACAGGAATGGAGTAGAGTCCCTTGCTTATGTAGTATGCAAGAGCTAGATGAAACTGTTCTGATGTTGCTCCTCTGTGATAAAAAGTGAGGATTCTTCCTATGTCATTTGCTTGTGCACCACACGCACACACACACTGTCACAGTGATCATGCTGACGCAACAAATGCTCCAAAGAAACAGATCTGTGCCATAGCAATGCTCACGAAAGCAGCAGACTACCATATTATTGTGACAGAATTTTTCATTCTGCAAACACTTGGGAAGATACTGAGAACATATTGTGGTATTACCTACATTCTGGGCATGTTTTACATGGCTTGGCTGGGACTGGCTAAGTAAGTCCATACTAGGAGGTCTTGTATGCCATTCGATGCAGGGGTTTGGGTCGGAATGCTCTGGGGTGATTTAGTTCGCTCCAGTTATAACCTGGTGTGACTGCTTGTCAAAAAGAGTGAACCAAACCATCCCCACAGCAGTCCAAAGAGCAGGCTAAACACCTGGCTGGTCCAACCCATAGACTCCTTAGCCGCTGTCAGATCCTTATGCATAACTATGTCTTATATGCAGAAGAACACTAGCATATATCCCTGTTGCTTTATATTTCAGCCACTCTACCCTTTGGGGGAGGGGATGCAGAGGGGTCATGTTGGTCTGTCACAGTCAAAGCACCAGGCAAAAATCCTGTTTGTGTTATTACACTGGAGTTAACTTGATCTGGGGCCCAGAAATAATAAATTTAAATATTTCACAAGCTTCCTGTCCCCTCTCCATACCTCCCTTTGCCTTCTTTTTGCCCTGGGGAAGCCTCTGGGAGCCTTGGAGTGGGGGCAGCTCTGGGGGGATAGCCTTTCATAGTAAAAAAAATCATTGCCAGATCACCATTACTGGGATTAAACTCCCACAACCTGAAGCTGCCAAAGGCTTCCCAAGTGCAAAACAGAGTCCCAAGGAGCTTCGGAACCTGAAAGCAGGAGATACGAAGCTTTCCATTCATTTAAATCAATCATTTCCAGCACTCCTTGACTGAAGCAGTCAGAAGTACTGTGTATACCTGCATTGCCTTTGGGTCACATTCAGCAAAGGAAGAGGAGAAAGGGCTCAACAGAATTGTACTGTACAGTGTTTCTCTCCATAGCATACAAGAGATACACCTATAATTGAGGATGTTTAAGAGGCACCTTCAGAGACTTGGGAAAACAGTGAAGACTCACTCCCCACCTGGAAGTGGTGAATCAGGATCGGCATACTGTTAATCCGAGCTTCAGAGTTGCCCCATCTATAGACAAAAAAGAATGGGGTGGGGAAAAAACAAAGGAAATTTACCTAATTTTTGTGCTTTTTGTTGCATGAGTGGATTAGTAAACCTGCCTTTCATTCCACTCAAACAGCAAATGGCTTTTGAGCCAGTAATATTTTCTTGATCAAAACATTAAGGTACATTTATAGGAAAATAATTTGCACACTCAGGAAAGCCAGTTTAATGAGCACAGGATGGAGGCCCTACAGTTATTTCCGGACACAGTTGAGACATGAGTGATTGGTCTCGCTTGCTGACAGAAAGGACTTTGAAGAATTGTGTCCATTACAAACCTTGCAGGGCACACTGCTAACACTGTTTGTTCCTGTTGGCCCTTCAGATGAAATCAGTGAAGCTTAAAGTGTCTCTACCAGTTGGACTCTGCTCAAATACTGTATTGTGCAGTGGGCTTGAATCCTTTGAGTACAGTAGTTGGTATCGCAGAATTTCCCAAGCTATGACCTGTGAATGTAAACAATATTATTGCCTCACTTAACAATGCTTCTTTGCCCACAGAAGATTTTAGCAGAAAGAGCCAAAAGAAGAAAATAGCTTGGGTATGCAGGCCTCCTTTGAAAGTTCCTGAACATGTAGTCTGTACGGCAGCCAGCAGATTATTACGCACAAATGGTGTACATTCTAGAAAGCTATTAAATGCAAGTACTTGACAGCAAGTCTTGACACTAAGTCTACTGAACTACATGGGACTGTTGAGTAGACAGTGCAATATTTAAACAGATATAGGTAAGATCTCAGATTGGAAACAGTGGCAGGATTTCTCCCACACACTGTTGACATCCCCTACTGTGAACATGAGTGGGATGGAGGAAGAATACGCTAGTCATTTCTAGTTGGAGGTAGATACAGCATTCTATGTACACAGAGATGCGTGGAACAAGGCAATACTTTCTGCACAGAGAACAGGAGAACAATGGCCAGGGAAAGGATATGTAATGCTAGGACGGAAGGTCTGTAATGAAGACCTACACCGAGACATCATTCCAGGGGCAATCCATTCCTATGTCACTGCAATATCTCAAGATCTCAAGCATGCATTCAATGAGACCCTTGTACCCAATGGCTATCAACCAACTACTCAATGACTGGAACCCTCTTGCAATACAGTCAACTCCTCAATGGATTCAACTGGCCCTACTCTAGTTGTGACTTCCTTTAGCAAACTAAGTCACAACTAGAGTTGGTCTATTTGAATTGAGCTACACTTTATGTTCCAACTACTCATGGTTCCAGCATTCTAAATATATTTGGGAGAGATCTTTCTGCATATGCATTACTTGTGTATCTCACAACATATCTGTGTAGAATTTTCAATATTGGATCCGTGTGTTTCTTTTCGGTTTATTCTTCCCATGTCCTCCATGAAAGAATACCACTGTTCAATAAAATCCTATTTTTTCTGTCATATTGTCATCTGTAGTTTCTGAATTAGCCTGTCAAAATTTACCACTGTCCACACCAGCTGCATCCATGTATATACAAACAGTCTGATCAAATATTTCTGGTCTCTCACAATGTCTGTTCTTGCTGCTAAAAACAGTATAGTAACCAATCTCTTGTGCAACAACTTTTAATCTTCTCCAATAAAAACAGAAATTAAGAATAATTCATCTCTATGTTCTATTGACTGACCATTGACCAGTTATTTCATTGATTTGCTTAGTTACATCTTGTCAACATTCTCCAACTTTTGGACATCCTAGCCATTTAGGGAGTACCTTTCGCTTTACTTCCTCTCCAGCACAATGGTCATGTTTCTTTATTAATATTTTGAAAGTTTTGCTGGATTGTAGTACCATCTATAAATTATTTTTAGTGTTACCTCTCAGACCACCACCCCTGCCGATATGGGCCATAGGCTAGGGAAAGTCTAAAGACTATGCTATTGATCACCACTAAATATAGTACAGTATTTAAATATGTTTCCTAAGCTATTTTTGCTCCTTCTGAGTGGCCATATTTTAAATTTATTAACCATGAACGTACTTTTGAAATGCATTCTTTCCTAGTTTTATTGTTCGGCAGCACATTTCTGTAAACTGTGTTTGATGCCTCTTAAAGTCTGTGCCAAAAACAATTATTTATGACTGAATCATTGTGAGGACATTGCAGAGCATCCTGGAAGAGTGAAATGCTCTCTTACTAGCTTTGGAACACTGTTGTTCCTGTGTGTTGTCAAGTCACTTCTAACCTAAAAGTAAAGGTTCCCCTTGACATTTTCAACCTAAAGACATTTTTAGTCCAGTCCGATTCTAGGGGGCGGTGCTCATCCTGTTTTTCAAGCCGTAGAGCCAGCGCTTGTCCGAAGACAGCTTCCGTTGTCACGTGGCAGCGTGACTAGGGAACACCATTTTACCTTCCCACTGAGGTGGTACCTATTTATCTACTCGCATTTGAACGCTTTCGAACTGCTAGGTTGGCGAGGAGCTGGGACAAAGCAACAGGAGCTCACTCCGTCATGTGGATTCAATCTTACAACTGCTGGTCTTCTGACCCTGCATCGCAGGCTTCTGTGGTTTAGCCCACAGCGCCACCGGGTCCTGTTAAAACCAATATAAACCTCTGTAATTTAGTTTGACAGTGGCACTGTTTCAATAAATGAAAAACAATAGATACCTGTAACAAACATTTTCACAGATATCATTAATTCAGGCACTTACAGGAGATTAAGAAACATTTTAAAGACACAGATAAAAACCACCAACACCTCTGGCAGAGTTTGCCACCAAGACATGTGTTCCTTTTCAAGTCATAACTCATCCTTGGATTATGTTTCGGTTTGAGAGGAGGCCAAGCATCCAAACAAATCCAAAGAGAAAACAAATACAAGTTCCTCTGGTACAAGAAGCAGAAAATGGAAATGGAAACTTAGCTTCATACCTGATGTTTTAAGACAATTCATCTAATTGGGTTTCAGCTTACATGAAGGCTGCAAAAGTATGCCAGCCTTCCTCAGTTCCATTCATTCAGGTAAGTTTTATACACTTGCCAAATAAATCTGAACACCTTGTACAAGCATATTAGCCCTAAAACAGATTTTTTAAAAAATCCTTTGAGTAATTTCTGGAGCCCCGAATTTCATCGATGTATGCATGTGTTTATATATATTCTAGTTTCCCCTAGTTATATGTATTTTCTTCAATATTTGTACTTTCATTTTGATTGCACCGCTTTAAAACTGAAGACCAACTTTTACAGGGCAACCCAAAATGCAGCCTCCAAGAGACACAAACCTGGGAATATGCCAGTAAGGCAGAAGTGAGGGAAAGACAACAATTTTCCATCCATGTCTCAATCTATTTTTTAAAAAAATTTATTTCAAGTAATTCATTTACATTAAAACCAGTGTAAGGGAATGGATTTAAGACAAACCAAGCCACCCAGCTGGAGTTGGGATGTGCTTGGGGGCTAGCAATCTTCCCAGAATGCCCACTGCCATAGCCCTCAACATGCCTTCTTTCCTCCAGTGGAGTTCTGGTATTAGAATAGACAAAAAGAAGTGCTGGAAAGCTCAGTGGTTTTGGTCTCTGGTTGTGGATCCAGAGGTTGGAAGTTTGATTCCCCTCACTGTGGTTCCTTGACAAGGGTTGGACTTGATGATCCACAGAGTTCTTTCAAGCTCTGCAGTTTAAGAGTATTCTAAGAGTACTCTAACTAAGAGGACGAGGAACAACAAATGTTACCTCAGCAGCTGGAGGAGGGGGTGGCAGAAAGATATAAAAAGCAGACCTTCCTTATTTTTTTCAATGGCACTGATCACCCAATTTATCTCTGGTTGCCATCCTGCACAAAACCAGGCTGCATAGGCTCCATTGCTTTCAACAGGGTAAACACCGCTTGGAAACCATTACTCAGAAATTCACACAGTGTGTAATTTTTTCAAGTTCTAGATGCAAGTAGCTTGCATCAGCCCAGTATACTGTAGTAGCTTTTAACCTCACTGAGACCAACCAGCATGTGAAGAAAAAAAATCTTTTAAATATTCTAGGGATCTCAGAAGGCCTATATCTACTTGTTAGTTTCAATTAGTTTCAATTAAATCAACAATGGGAATTTGGTAGCACTAGATTCAGCATGTTCCTTTGTTTCAATAGTTCTACTCCAATTGGGGGGGAAAGCAGTTGTATTTAGGCCTGGATATTAAAAAACACAAAGCACAGAAACCTTTTAATAACTACCACCAACTGCGGCAAAATATTCGGAATCCACTGAATACTTTTTTTTTTTTAAATCGGGCTGGGTTGAAATTCTCACTCTGGGCAGCAGTCATGATAAAAACAATTCCTTAAATATTTTACATATTTAAAAGCCCTATTAACATCACCATAAATCAGATTTGACTTGATAGCACATACTGTAAAAGCCGTTATCAGTTTAATGTATTCACGAAGGCTTTCATGGCCGGGATCTAATGGTTGTTGTGGGTTTTTCGGGCTCTTTGGCCGTGTTCTGAACAACCTTCAGAACATGGCCAAAGATGCCGAAAAACCCACAACAACCAATTATCAGTTTCCTTCAGAAGACCAAATGGTGCAATGCTATACTTTTACTGCTTCCATATTTACACTTTTACTGCTTCCATATTTACCACAATCTTTCATTTTGGCCTATTCAAACAAAGAAGAAGAAGAAGACATGCCAATCACAACTCTCAGAAAGAAAGTTTCTCTTTACCATCTTTCTCAAATGTTACTTCAGGCAATGCTAATTATTACATTTTGTTATCCTTTCCAGTGTTAAAACAGACAGGGAGTTTCATTGTTTATACAGTTATGGAAACAGATTGTAACTGTTTGTAATTTAATAGGCTGAACTCAAAAGGTGTTAAGACTTTAGAAACAGGCTACTGAAAGACATTCACCCAAACCATTAGCTGTTAAAACAGCGACCTTCTGCTAACTTCCTCTTCCTGAAAAGAATTCTCCTCCATAACTATTCATTTTCTCATAACTAACTCCATCATTGTAGTTGCCCAGTTACTTCAGGGGTCCTCCTGTATTTCTATATTTTATGAAGGAAACCAACTAGAACAGGCAAAATACAAAACAACTTATTATATCTCTCTCCAACACCCTGCACTTACCTATTTTAAAATATTTATAGGCCACATTACTGTACTTGTAAAAAAGCATATGAAGCGGCTTACAACAGTAATAAAAATTCACAGACATAGAAAAAAAAAGAAAATAATCAGTCAACTGAAATGTTAAATCACTGTCATGTTAAACTACTGCAGTGGAGACAAATTCAACCAAGTGAGCAGAAAGAATCCAAAGAAACTTGGGAAGCAAAAATGGGCTCAGCTGAGAAAGGAGATTGATAAAAGAAACAGAATCCCTCGTCTCAAGCTACTGAGAGCTTTAAACATCTGCCCTCTGAACTGGCGAGCCTGGCAGAAAATGCCCAGTGGAGCTGGAGCAAAACTAAGTAGAATTCTGTGCTTCCTCTGGAGGGTTCTAGCAAGATGTCTCAGCAATACATTCTGGATTGGATGAAACCTTTAAACATTTTTAGAAAGCAGCCTGACCACAATAAACTAATGTGGATGATACAAAAAGGAAAAATAAGCAGAGCTGTGCTACCACCACTGCTAATCGTGTGTCTTACAAGGAACTGATGAAATACTCTTTCCCCTAGAAAAATTAAGGCAGAGGGAACTAACAATAACAGTCGGACTACATTTACTTATTTATATCCCACCCTGAAATATGAAAACATAAGGAGGCTGTGCTACAGTCCAAGACCAAAAATCAAGTGTTCCAAAGTTTCGAGATTCCTCCATTTATTCCCAATACAAATTTATTTAAGATACTAGTGACCATAGTGAGTTGGCCGTCGCTGAACCCAATTATTTTGCCTCACTAGGTCATTACTGTTTATTCTGCCTAAGAAGGGCACTCCAGGGCCTCAAGCAGCTGGCCTTTTCCATGACCTACTAACGGATCCTTTAACTAGAGAGGGCAAGGGCTGAACCCCTAACTGTCAGATCCCGAGCACATATACTACCACAAAACAACAGGTTCTTCCCCAGTAATCCTCTTTGGAAACCTGCAGTGCACTCCACAAAGCATGAGTCTTTGCTGAAGGGCAGTGTTCACCAACATAAAGTCCTATTATAATGTACTGCATACTTACTACCGTATGTTGACAGGAGTATTCTAGGCCCACCTGTTCTATAATAGTTTCCACCACTCTCCTTCACATAGAGAGCAATAGGTTTGAAGGACAACTCCAGAGGCTGTGGGGGATTCCCCTGTTGATTTGTGACCCTGCAAAATGACTCTCTTAAGACTCATTGCTCTCCGAATAGAGGATGACAACAAACCCATGGACAGATGGAGGTGGGGATACAGCATGTTCATTCATACATGCACACACACTCACTGATGGGTGCATCAGGGATTTATAAGCTCAGTAATGAGGCTCATTGATATGGGAACAGCCTGAGCAGGTTTGCTTATACTGTACTGAATTTGCTGGACTCTTGAGGTGTTCACATTCTTGCTTTCTCATTTCTCTCTTTTTTTATATTTCTAATTTCATTTTTTGCTTGATGACATTTCAGTCTTGAGTGAAAGCATCCCAACTCAATATTAAATTTCTTCAAAACTGCCTTTAGCATGTCCTTGGATTGTTTATTTTGTCCACTACACAACAGAGCACCTGCGGCCACCTCTCCATAGAAGGTAGACTTTGGGCAACAATAATCTGACATCCAATATGGCCAGTCTACTGGAGTTGCTACCGTTTCAAAATTGTCAAAATGCTTGTTATCTGCGTTTGCTTCAAGACTTTGACTCTGTCTTGCCATTTGATGTTGAACATTATTTGTTTTAAATTTTGATTGTACCCATCTAGTGGCCAGGCCACTACTCTGGGCAGCTTACAATATTACAACAGAGACATGAAATAAACGTACAATAACAATCAAATTAAAGCACAAAACAAAAAGAAAACGAAATAGTAACTATTATAAAAATGGCTAATACAAAATACGGTGGCAGAACAGAAACAATGATTCCAAAATTAATGGGATATGAATTAATGGAATTCTTTGAAAGTGAACTGAGCTTTCTTGCGTCGCGCTGATAGATCATCCCTGTTCCATAGAACAGAGAGGACAGCACAACAGCTTTCTATGGAAAAACTGATTCCATGTTCATTCCACCCAAAGGATTGAAATCTTCCAAAGGCAATGCAGTAAAAAAAAAAAAGGTTAGAGAAGGTTTGAAGAAAATTCTGCAGATTTGATGAAGTCTTTTACTGGAGTCAACCAAATTCCCATGGGCCTATTATAGTTGTGACCTAGTACAGTACCGGATGTCAGCTACTGTTTGCTGAGTTGGTTTTCGTTAATTTCACTTTTCCCCAGATAGATGTTCTTGGACTGCTCCTCCACATGCCTTCATTAGTTATGCTGGCCAGGATTTCTGAAAATTGCTATCACAGAACATATGGAGACCCAAGGCTGGGAACCACTGCTTTACAAACTTTCTAACAGCATTAAACCTATGAATAGATTTGGCTTTGTTACTGAATATGCACTTGGTATAGAGATTTTTAGAATGTACTGTCAATTGCTGCTTCACACTGCATTTGTGTACAAAGAAAATCCTACATGTCAAGCACACACATTTCCTCTGCTGGAGTGACTGCTGCTTGCAGGACTGAGAAGCATAACATAAATTGGTAGCAAGATGAGGTGAGAAAAGGCTCCGGTAGTTAATTTTGGAAATAAAGAGTTTTGCCATTAGCCCTACTGTGAGGTAAGATAAGACAGCAGATCCTGGGCACCACTAATCCCTTATCACGTGGGCTCAGCAGAATGTCTGCATGAGCAGAAACAGTTTTGTGAACTGACAATGTCAACACCGCCACTGTCAGAACTTTGAGCATTTAACTTCCCACATCTGTCCTCAACTATAAGTAATGTACATGTGAAACCCAGGCAATGCTCTATGCGCCTGATAAAGTATTTTATGATCCTCAAGAGTTGCTGTTGTGATAAATTTGCCAACCTTTACGCAGCCACAAGACTCAGCTGCCTCTGTTCCAATGGACTAACACAGCTTTCCTTTTCAAAATGAGCAAGCAGGCGAGCTACACACATCACAACCTTGTACAGCCACAGGAATTTAAAGGAAGCTTATGCAAGAGAACTTATCACAGCATGAGCCAGCGACATCTGGACTTCTCACATCAAGTTTGTACCAGCCCAGATGAGACACAGCACAGCACGGAAGCCCTGTTGTCTAACCCAGTTTTGATAGACAGCATATCTGGATCCACTGGGAGCTTTGTGGATGATCCGCGACAGCATCCGAGTTACAGTAACCAAATTTTGCGACTGTTTAACAGCAGCAGTAAAACAAGATGCCACCCCCGCAACCCAAAATTAAGCTGCCAAGGAAAATGAGAGGAAACCAGGGGATTTTTGTGCGTGAGAAAGGTGCAATCAGTTTTGCTAGCCAAAACAAAAGGGCACATGTGTTCCTCATTTGCAAATGTGCGATCTCGCCTCCCCTCCCCTCCCGACCCTGGGGGGGGGTGGAACTTGGGACTCGAGAAAGAAAACGAGTCACTCCTTGATGCTTGAAGTCAGGCTGGCTCTCCTCCTCGCCTGTACCATCTTACAAGTAAAGCAGGCCAGCTGTTGTCACGCTAACAGTAGCACTCTGTTCATGCTCAAAAGTCCCCTTCTATCTTGACTGCGCCGTCGCAGCCACCAATACTGCACCTGGGGATTTCCAAATGGGCTTCGTTCTGGCTCAGATGAAAGCCCTGGAAATCTCTGCGGTTCAGAGGGGGGGCGGGAGGGAGGGAGGAAGACGGAGGAGCGACATAACCCCCAACTGATAGCGGTTGCGTCCAAAGATCCCTCCCTCCGGCCGCTTGTTTACGATCTGCAGACGAAGTACGAAAGATCTGGTTGCCAGACCTCCTTCCGATCCAGCGAGAAGCCTCTCACCCTAACGTTAAACCAGGCTTACCTTTTAACTTCTCCTCCCAGATGCAGTTCCAAATGCATTCCAAACCGTGCGGACGACGGACTCGAGGAAGCAGTGAGGGGGAAACGTGCAGCGCTTCCGTTGCCTCCCCCCCGAAGGACCACTCGATCTGCGTCTTCTTTACTCCACCCCCTGCAAAGTTAGCACAAATCTTCCTCCTACTCGCTCCTCAGGTAACTTTTGTTTCCCAATCGCGGGTGGGTCAGTCGGCGTAGTCATTCTTAATCCGTTCCAACAGTGCCATCTAGTGGCAGCATTTGAAAAAGCGAAGGAAGTGGATCTGTGGAGCAAGGCCAGTAGGCTAACGATTCGGATACTAGGCATAGAGCGGCGACATCCAGCGGTCATATTGTGGAACAACAAATACAACAGAGTTTTGGGAAAGCAGACTTGCTCCGGAGCCCATTCCCCAATTTATTTTCAGGGCGTCTCAATCCTAAACATACCATAGTTTGGTGATGCTCAATAGCAGCAGCAGAATTGCAGAGCTGGAAGGGACCCTATCATCAAGTCCAATCTCTAGCAAGGAAGCACAGTAGGGAATTTAACTCCCAACCACAGCCAGAGACCCAAACCACGGAGTTATCCAGCAGTTCTTACAAATAACAGTCTTGTCAGTGAACTATTTCAGCTGTAAAGCAGACGAATAACTTGCCTTTTCGCACTTTCTCTCCTATCCTATGTACGAAAATTGATCCTGCAGACTTCAGAGAGACAAGAGAATGTAATTAACTAAGAGAAGGCAAATTATAATGAGCATGCAAAAGCAAGTTTTGCTTTTTAAGTATCTTTCTACAGCCCAGTTGCTAAATGTATTTTCTTGGGAATAAGCAGTTTCACAGTGCACAAGTATGCCATATTTTTAAAGTCACAACAACCATGTACTTACAAAGATACTACTAGTAGTAGTACACCAAACTACTAGTAGTGCACCAAACACCAAAGAGGAATACAGGCAAATAGCCAGTATATGTAGGGGGAAGGTAAGAAAAGCAAAAGTGCAGAATGAACTCAGGCTTGCCAGACAGATTAAAAACAATAAAAAGGGCTTTTTAGTTAAGCCTGCAGCAAAAGGGAAAACAAGGAAATGATAAGGTCGCTACATGGAGAAGATGGCCAGCTACTAACAGAGGACAGGGAAAAGGCTGAACTTCTCAACACCTTCTTTGCCTCAGTTTTCTCCAAAAAGGAAAATAGTGCTCAACCTGAGGGGCAAAGAGCAGGTGATGTAGTCGGGGAAATGCAGCACAGATTATAGGTAGAGAAGGAGTACAGGAATACCTGGCTACTCTAAATGAATTCAAGTCTCCAGGGCCAGACGAATTACATCCAAGGATATTAAAAGAACTGGCAGAAGTAATTTCGGAACCATTGGCAATATATTTGAGAATTCTTGGAGTACAGGATAAGTCCCTGCAGACTGGAGGAAGGCAAATGTTGTCCCTATCTTCAAAAAGAGGGGGAAAAAAGACCCAGATAATTATCGCCCAGTCAGCCTGACATCAGATCATTAAACAGACAGTTTGCTATTACTTAGAAAGCAATGCTGTCATCACTAAAAGTCAACAAGGGTTTCTCAAAAACAAGTCATGCCAGACTAATCTGATCTTTTTCATTATTATTTAATTTTTATTTTTTAAAAACTGGGGATAAGGTAAGGAGTACAAAAGGTAAAGGGGGATATGGGGGGGAAGAAGGGGGAGGAGAACACAAAATGTACTGTCATCCAATCTGTTTGTTCATGTTGCGATATCAAGTTCACAAGTCGCCTTTCTACAATCTGATTGCCCTCCAGGTTTCAACTTGTTACATCTTAGTTTAATTTTATGTTATCCAAGCACTATCTGGTGACTCAAGCCATTTATATAATAAATCCCATCATTCAGTTGCCTTATGTATTGGACAGTAAACACTTCTGATAGAACATCCATTTCTGCCGCTTCCCATATCTTCTCAATGAGTTCCTCTTGTTTCAGTATCTCCGATTTCTTCCAGTTCTTAGCATAAAGAATTCTGGCTGCAGTGACTATATATAACTAGGTAGTTCGTTGTCTTATCTATAATACTGAGCATTATCTGGTATAATACTCAGTAAAAACAATTCTGGGGTTAGTGGAACATTACAAAGCAGTATTTTTTGTAACAGAGTATGTACTACTGTTACACTATTGTTTCGCTACTCTACAAGTCCATGTATGGTAAAAGCTTCCCTCTTGTGCTTCACACTTCCAACAAACATTTGACGCCTCTGTATAAATCTTTGACAATTTTTTCAGAGTCATACGCCACCTATAAAACATCTTATGTATGTTATCCTTAAAATTTACCGATATTTTTATGTTATTTTTCCATATTTGCAACCATTGATCAATATCAATATTATGTCCTATATTTTGTGCCCACCTAATCATACATTCTTTTACAATCTCATCTTGCATTTTAATTTCAAGCAAATAAACATGCATTTTCTTAATTACTTTATCATTTGAGCCCAGCAGAAGTTTATTGAATACCGTTTGTTCTGTGTAAAAGCCCTCTATTTTATCTTTTCTATACCTAGATTTCATTTGTGCTCTGGACCACCAGTCTAGATATATGTTTTGCATTTCTAACTCTTCTTTGGACCTTAACTCACAATCATTTTTAATAGATCTTGCTGTCTTAAAAGTTTCGCTTCTGTCATGAGGTTAGGTTGTGTAAAGGCCTCTATGGGTGATGATGGTGTTTTTTGGTAAATCTGTTAGATGATCTTTTTCCAAGTCCCTAGTAGGGCTCTTCTTATCACATGCAAGTTGAAACTTTTCTGCTCTTTATCTTTTTTGTACCATAGAAAAGCATGCCAACCTAACTGTAAATCATGTCCTTCCAACTTGTGTAGTCAGTCTATCATTATTTAAAGTTACCCATTCCTATACATACTAATACACAGGCTCTATAATACAATACCCAATCTGGGGGACCAAAACCTGCTCTTTGTTTGGCATCTTGCATTGCTTTGATTTTAATTCTTGGTTTTTTACCTTGCCACACAAATCTCATTATTATCTTGTTAAGTTCTTGAAAAAATGACTGTTTTAATATTATGGGAATTGTCTGAAATAAAAATAACATTTTAGGTAGAACATTCATTTTGATGGTTGCTATTCTTTCCATCAACGATAGCTGTAATTTGTCCCATCTCTCCCAGCTATTCTGTATCTCTTTAATCAACTTCATATAATTGTCTTTAAATAATGTACTAGTCTTCTTTGTGATTTGAATCCCTAAGTATCTAACTCTGTTTTCTTCTTTAAAGTTAGTCCTTTCTATTAATTGTTATTGTTCTTGATCTCTCATGTTTTTAACAAGTATTTTTATTTTCTTTTGGTTTAATTTCATTCTTGCCATATCACCAAAATTTATCAGCATCTCTATCAGGTCTTCAAGAAAGCAATGCTATCATCACTAAAAGTCAACATGGGTTTCTCAAAAACAAGTCATGACAGACTAATTTGATCTCTTTTTTGTCAGAGTTACAGGCTTGATAGATGAAGGGAAGGTTGTGGATGTAGGATATCTTGATTTGGGAGGGGTTGCTAATTCCCCAGAGACAAGATTGAAATTCAAAATGACCCTGACAGATTGGAGTCCTGGGCCAAAACTAACAAAATGAATTTCAACAGGGAGAAATGTAAGGTCCTACACCTAGGCAAAAAAAAAATGAACTGCACAGATATAGGATGGAAGACACCTAGCTAGACAACAGTCCCTGTGAAAGGGATCTAGGAGTCTTGTTAGACCACAAACTGAACATGCATCAGCAGTGTGATGTGGCTGCCAAGAAAGCCAGTGCAATTCTCAGTTGCATCTATACGACTATAGTGTCTAGATCAGGGGTCTCAAACTCAATTTACCTGGGGGCCGCTGGAGGTAGTGTCTGGGTGAGACTGGGCCGCATCAGATTTTCTGCCAAGCAAAGCAAGAGCCCGAGGAAGCTGCCCAGGAGTTTCCTTAGTGTGGCTGGGGCTCTGAGGAGAAGGAGGGGCGCGTGAGCCCTCGTCACCGGACACGACCCCCTCCAGTTCCTTCTTCACTACTACCACCACCAGCAGGATGAAGAAGTGGAGAAGGGAGGGAGCGCCAGCAATCGCTTAGCCATGGGGAGGAGGGCACAACATAATTTTTTTTAAAAAAACCTCACAGAATTCACCTTGCCAAAGGAGAAAAGACCCCACCAGTACCCACGAAATTGTACAGAACGGGGCATGGGGCCCCACAGGTGTGCATGCATGCACGCACACAAACACACACACACACACACACACAGAGGATGTGTGGGCACTTCGGGGGGGCAGGCAAGGCAGGGGCCACAAACTATCATCTGGCGGGCTGCAAATGGCTCCTGGGCCACATGTTTAAGACCCCTGGTCTAGATCAAGGGAAGTGATAGTACCACTCTATTCTGCTTTGGTCAGACCTCACCTGGAGTATTGTGTCCAGTTCTGGGCACCTCAATTCAGGAAGGATGTTGCCAACCTGGAACATGTCCAAAATGGTCAAAGGTCTGGAAGTCATGTCCTATGAGGAGCGGCTTAATGAAGTTCCTGCATGGCAGGGGATTGGACTTGATGGCCCCTGTAGTCTCTTCTAACTCTGTGATTCTATTATTCTATTATCACTACTACTACTACTACTACTACTACTACTACTACTACTACTACTACTACTACTACTACTACTACTACTACTACTACTACTACTACTACTACTACTACTACTACTACTACTACTACTACTACTACTACTACTACTACTACTACTAATACTAATACTAATACTAATACAAACAAACAAACAAACAAATAAATAAATAAATAAATAAAACAGTGAGCAAACCTCAGTTCCAGTGGTTGCCGGCATGCATGTGGGCAGCTCCAAAACTAGTGGGCCTTAATCTAGCCATGCCTGGAGTTGCTTGCAGCTGTCCCCATCACTGGCTACTTTCTGAATATACTGGATTTAGGCCCCCATGATTCAGTCCTAAACTCTTGCTAGGGGCTGGATCACATTGAACACCATGGATTTTGCTTCATAATGTGCAGATTTAGGATCATGCTGGATGACGTGTAGAGAATACAGTAATGTCCAAATATGAGCCTTTTTGGGGTAAGTGCATAAATTCATATTATATATACATGCACACAATCAGTGACTGCAATGTCATGATGGAAGCACTAACCTGTGAAGCAGACATCACAGGTCAAAGATTACACTCAGCTGAGTTTTCATATCACAGCACTTAACAATCAAAGCAATTGACTCATCTAGGGTCATGAGAAGCAGCCTTTTCTGCTGTCAAGCAGTAGGGCTCAAAATCTGAATACACGTAGCACTTTTTTTTAAGTGATAATTGTTCTGGATTACATTCTGAACAATTACAGAACATATTTGTGCTCATTGCTGGCAAATTGTGAGAATCATTCAATACTATGAAGTGAGAACAAAGCCCTTACAATGTTTAAATGCATGGCTGTAAATGTGAATGAGCATCTCTAAAGTTTATGCAAAGGTATGTTGTCTCAGCTATCTTTTTTGATCACAGACAAGTAGCCACTATATACAGTAACTATTAACAACCCAGAAAGATGAAATCTGCATACAGATCATTCAAGTGTGTTTTTAAAAGCAAAACAAAAACTTTAGGAAACTATACATTTTCTGTTAAAACACAGGACATAAAACTTGCCTGGTGACAGGAGGTGTTGTTCCTTCATGCAGAGCAAGCCAAACTGCCCCTGGGCTGGAATGCTGGGCTACAGAAATTTCTTTGATTCTTCACGTACTTTTGTCAGCTTGATCTGAGGAACCGTCTGTAGCAGCCAAGAATAGCATTTTATATCAGGATCGTGAGATCTTGAAAATTTATAGTGAGTTGTATGAGTTGAAAGAAATAATTCATTAGAGATTTCAACTCTGAGACTGACTAAACCTGTGAGGATTTTCTTGTGAATGGCTGGAATAAATAATAGCTAATAGGATTACTACACTCCTAATGTATAAAGAGTCTATATAAGAAAGTTACTAATGGCACGGGCCTACTAACTGCTATTGCACCAAAGCACTGTCAAAACCAATGAAATACTGGCCAGAGCCCTTTTGGTTATTTATGTTGGTAAGAGTTACCTGGTGTGTGACAGGGGATATTATTAACTAATGGTAACTTGCCACTATGATTTATGCCATTGGAATTCTACCAGTGTACAGTAAATAGCCAATAGGATTATGGTCATAATAATATAAAAAGAATCTGATGTTAAGCAATGGATGGCAGTCTTGAAACATTTTATATATATTTTTGGGGAAACCTTACAACATATAGGAGTGGAAGAAGGTGGCTGATAACTCAGCGCAAGGGTCAGCCTCAACACCTTCCACCACCTCTTAGGGCACCAGTCAGGGAGAATGATATGCTTAGCACCTCTCACAAGGGCATCGCCCACAAGCCCTCCCTGAGAATCTCCTCAAAGGCTGTACAGGAACTGGAGGCACCCGGAGGTAGGAAACAGAAGGGACCTTCAGTAAGGGAAGTGGGGGAAGATAGAAAAGGAGAGGAACCTGGGCTAGTGTGTGGAGGGGAGGAGAGCAGTGAAGAGGAGAAGGTGGAGAAGGACGATGTGCTAGAGTTGTAGGATGGTCTGTGGTGCCCCTGAGGTCCCATCCTGTTATGGCTACACTAGCCTTGGCATAGAACTGAAGCGTCCACTGTGGCTAGGCAAGGGTATTCTTAGACCTGCCTGAGGTTGCACTTGTTGATGTGGTCACTTGGTCCGGCTCTGGCAGAGCCTAGCCCAACCCCAGCTGTGGCAGCTCAGATCTTCATTCAGTTGCTTCGTGGGCAGCAGGAAATATAATTTAAGAGATTGTGCCAGTCAGAATGAGCGCTCTGTGCAAAGGAAGAGGGGGAGAAAGGACGTGAGCTTTGAAAGAGTGAGCATGACCACAACTGCTTGGTAGACCCTAGACTTTCCTCTCAAGGGGTGAAAGTGAACCACCCAGATGGGTAGGAAAGGACAGTGGGAGGCAGAGAATCCTAAAGCCACAAAGTGCCACCAAAGCCAAGAGGCCATCTGTATATAGTTCTACGGTATATACAGATGGCCTCTTGGCTTTGGTGGCACTGTATATAGTTCCTGTTGACTGCAGTAGCTGCTCTCCAGTGCAATGATGACTAATCCCACAGGTCCCTTTGATGTCCCCTTGCCCATAGAGGACTTCAGGGGCAGCATAATAAGACTTAATTTGATTGAACCTTCAGCACAAACTAGCCTCCAAATTGATTTCCAATAACAAGACTCAGTATTCAGCTATGTAAAGCACTAGTATATAGTTCCTGTTGACTGCAGTAGCTGCTCTCCAGTGCAATGATGACTAATCCCACAGGTCCCTTTGATGTCCCCTTGCCCATAGAGGACTTCAGGGGCAGCATAATAAGACTTAATTTGATTGAACCTTCAGCACAAACTAGCCTCCAAATTGATTTCCAATAACAAGACTCAGTATTCAGCTATGTAAAGCACTAAAGAAGGTCATCTTATTCAGAGTGTTTAGCCCCCACAAAAGACAAGCTCTCAGTTTCTGAACACCAGATGAAAGTATAGTATAAACCATCCAAAAACTGGGTCAGAAGGTCTAAACAGGGAGTCAGGCTCGATGGCCACAACATGCAGCCCAACTCTGCATGAAACAGAAGTAGCAAAGGCCCAGCTTGGCCCCATAGATAGGTCACTTGCTCTAGCCCTTATAATAGGCTTGCAGCAGAAAAAACCATGGAGCTCATGTCAGTCATAGAATCAAAGAACAGTGAAATTGGAAGGGGCCTCTAACCCCCTGCTCAATGCAGGAATCCAAATCAAAGGATATCTGACAGATGATAGTCCAATTTTATCTTGAGTGTCTCTAGCATCTTCCATCAACAAAACAGGAGGATGAATTTCAGCATCATATTAAGCCAGCAATACAAATACAATCAAATTGGTAGTCATGCCTAGTAGTCAGAACCTCATTGTATCTATGATCACAGGACTATTTTTATAGCCTCCACAGGTTAGAAAGTAGGCGGTCATAAAGGCATGCATTCCATTATGCCTAAGTTCCAAGGAGTGTTTTCATATCCCTTCATTCTGCCCTCAAATATGGACAGACACACTCACAACATGCATAACTGTATGGCTCTGTCCTAATCTTGTTTACTCAAAAGTAAATCTGTTGTGCTCTTTGGCCTTACACACAAGTAACTATGCATAGCATTGCAAGATGTCAAACAAGTATTACAGAGCTTGGGGTGGTGCAGAAAAACTATAAAAGTTATAAAATCCATGGCCAGAAATGTAGGCCAGGTTTCTTTGTTTGAAGTAAATTCCAAAGTGTGAGCTGCAGAATCCACTTAGAGGTAGTAAGTTTCAGATTTCACCTCTGGCAATATGGATTAGAAAGTCCCAAACTTGTTAGGACAAAGAGTCAAGTTTGGGACATTCTGATCCACACTGTCAAAAACTGAAATTGGAAACCTGTCAGCTCAAAGTGGATTCTGCTTCCCTCATTTTTGAGATAATGGGTTAAAACAAGGCAATGGATTTTGGAGCTTTAATTTGTTTTTTGCACACACGCCCCCAATGCCTGTTAATGTCCAGCCGAGGACAGACTAATGCAGAATCGAAACCTAGCCTCTATGTGTGAGATTTTAGTGGTGTAATAAAAACAGCCCAGTCCTCTCCACTTTTCTCTTTGGGTTGTGTACATCTTTGGGTTGTGTAGAAAGATCAAACATTTTGTTCTCTTTTTGTCAAAAAAGTAGTCCGCCCAAATAAATATGTAAGGCAATAATGTAACAAAATAATCTTAACAGTTGTATCACAGTACAGCAAAAGATATAAAATACATAGGAGATGTTAGAATGGTGACATTGCCTTTATTTCCTCTGCTTATTTGCTATAGTGATGGGCTGTCACCATTTAAGGCTATTGGAAACCCATGACCCTGAAGGGCTAGACTTACAAACCTCAATGGATTAGCTAAATCATAGTCCTAGATGTGGATAAACTTGCAGCCAAAAACTGAAATCCCACGCATAATTTACAAGGGAGTAAACCCGATTGAATCCCATGATCTAAGCGCCCGTCTTTCCGCCTGCATTGTCAACTAGGCTGGTCGGTGTTTTTCAAGAAATTGCCACCAGCCATAGGCGTCTCGTGACCCGAACAAGAGGGCGACGGCCCTCGGCCTTTGGGGAGGGGTTTCTCCCCACATTATTTAAATGCCACTGCTGAAAACTGTGAAGTACTCTTAGGAGCCTAGCGCCTCTCCCAGGCGAGAATTTTTGTGCACCCATCGGTCGCCCAGCTGTTGTAGTAAGCGTGCACAGTCTTGCAGTTTAGTCCAAGAGGTGCCAGAGCTTATGCCTATTATACGCCCACAGTATTTCACGCGTGACACCCCCGATGTGTTTGCGAGGTGACGTTCACCAGCCGCATGGCATTTTGCATATGCTGAAATGAAATACAGAAGCGGGCGGTATGTTTAAACAATTCTTTAGAAAAAGGCATTTGGCCGAATGAAGGATCGAGCATGCCATGTTGTTTGAATGCGAGGGGGAAAACGCCTGCCTGCGATTCGAATGCGACGAGATTAAAAAAAAGACCCAAGTTTTTTTCTTCATTTAATGTAATCACCACTGCCTCTGAGCATGTACAGAATACCCATCCCTCGCGCTTGAACTATTAACGAGCCAGACGTCTATTTGTTAAGAGGAAGGGCGGGAGGGGACAGAAAGTGGCGGTTATTTTACAAAACTAGGCGCCGACCCTGCTTCGTGTGTAGTGAAGGTCCAAAAATAAAAATAAAAACGCCTGTGTATGTGTGTGTGTGTGTTTCTGTCACGGGCCCCTCCCTTCAGCGGCCGAGTTATTCCCCCCCCCCCCTTCTCGGCGCTTACTATTATGTTACTCCGTGTGTGTGTGTGTGTGTGTGTGTGTCAGGTGACTTGGGTCACGCAGTTTCTCTCCTCTGGGAGGGACTGTGGGGCCTTGGCTGACTTTCCTTTGACAACTGCGACGAGGAGGAAGAACAAGACGCGGAGGGAGGGGGGAAAAAAGAAAGGAAAGGAGTTTGGATCGAAGTCTGAGGGAGGCCCCCCCACCCCACCCCCGACAAATTTAAGGAGGGACAGCTTCAGGGCTGGCGCGGGAAATCTGCTTTTTGCGAAGAGACAACCCGGGGCGGGAGCAGAATGAGCCAGGTGCTGGGAAAGCCGAAGGATCAGGAAGAGGACGAGGGAGACGAAGAGGAAGAGGAGGAGGAGGAGGAAGATGAGGAAGAAGAAGAGGACGAGGACGAAGAAGAAGATGAAATCGTTGGGCTGGCAGATTACGGAGACGGGACTGAGTCCTTCTCGGATGGAGACCGAGAAAACGGCAGGGACGGGGCGTGTAAGTAGCTGTTGCTGCAGGACGGGAGAGGGCTGGGAAGGGGGCAGCCCGAGGGAGGACTGCGCTGCCAGGCCCATTGTTTTGGGGCGGAGTGAGCGGCAGAGAGGGACGAAGCGAGGAGGAGGAGGAGAAGGGGAAGAAGAAGCCTGGCTGCTGAGGACAGGCGGGGTTTTGCTGCAATCCAGGAACGAGCAGACGACTTGGGTGGGTGGGTGCAGGAGAGTGGGGGGCGAAGGGGGTGTGTGTGGCGAATTCGGAAACAGGGCCGGGGTCGTGGGGGGGGGGTCCCCGCCAGCCTCATCAAAAGGCTTTTGGGCCGCCCCCCCTCCCTCTTTTCCCTCTGGGAGAGAGACGAAATGGCTCTGTTTAGCCACCCCATTTCCTGCACTGCCTCTCAGGTGTTAAGGCTCGGAAGCGAAAGGAAAGATGTGCCCCTCCCTTTCCAGTTGCAAACGCCAAGCAATAGGCGAGGGCAGGTGATTTTTTTCCCCCTTCACGTCGGCCCAGGTGACATTTCTGTCACACCTGAAGGCTACCGGGGTGTGTGTGAGGGGGCGAGCGAGTGAATACCAGGTACGGCACGTGACACAAACAGCCCAGTCCTCCCCACACATCCCTGCCTGCCCCCACTGTCTGCTGCTGTTGCCTGAGGCAGCTGCCTCCTTCTGCCTAATGGCAGGCACTGCCCCACCTCACCCCTTAAAACACCTAGCATGCCTTAAAAGGAGACGGAGCTTCTCCTTCCTCTGCCTTGTTCTCTGACAAGACAGCAAAACTCTTAAGGCTCAAAAATAGTCTCCACAGTCCTGGTGCCCCCAGCTTTGCCCTGTTGCTGCAGAAGACAAGAGACCTGCAAACATAACTTTCCTTTGCCTTAGTTTTGGGTAACAGGAAAACTATCCGTTGACAGCGCTCTTGGGTCTTGCTGGCTGCACTAGGTGTTGCTGCCCTTCTGCCTAAATTAGTGGCGAGCAATCCAAAATGTTCTCATGTGCATCTGACAAGAGTGCAAAGAGTCCTGGATCTTTTATAGACCAATCCGGCACAATTGCTGAGTGTCCTGAGGTGGTTGTCTTAGGACAGTCACGTTAGGACATGGGATGGAGGAAGGAGTGGTGTGTGTCATGGAGTCTGCCTTGAACCCCCTGAGCTAGCTTGCCGCCTTCAGGTATGATGAAAAGTGTCCCAAAAGAAGTGCTGAAGAAACATTCACTTGCCAATATATTTGGCTTATTTGTATGTAATGGATCTGGTGGGAGTACTGTACTATCTTGTCCTTCACCACAAGTGGTAACATACTTTGCATAGGGAGGCTTTCTGCACTGGTAGGTAGCCTCAGGAGCATGAGGAGCTTGGTGTAGTAGAAGAGTTGAGTGAGAGCCCTGATGGAGGGAAATTGGGAGGTGGTGCTGTGGGTAGAAACAAAAAGGATTCCTGGAGTCTGTTGACGGCAGAGGAAGGAATTTAAGGATTGCCAGAGTTTGGGGAGTTGTGAAGAATTTAGTTGTGGAATAAGGTTAGGCCGTGTATTTTGGGTGGCCTTTATTGTGGCATATTGTTGGAGCTAGCTGGCTGGATAGTTCACTGAGTTAGGTATCTTGGCTGTAGAGGCAGAGGTTGGGAGTTTGATTCTCTACGGTGCCTCCTGGGAGTAGAGCCACCCTGTGTACACCTTGGGCAACCCGCGCAGTTCCACAATGTCCCAAGAAAGGAATGATAAACCATTTTTGAGTATTCTCTACTTAGAAAATCCTGGAAAGAGTTTCCCTAAGTCAAGAGTTAACTCGCGGACACACTGTTGTTGTTGTAAGGTTAAAATAACATTAAGGATGAGTGGGCAGGGAAGGAGGTGAGTATTCCCAGAGTTTGGATACCAATGTAAACAGGCTGGGAGGCAGGCTCTCTAATGAGAGATTTGTCACTGTCATCCTGAGATATGTTGCATTGTCTGCTGTGTACATGGTATTGGAGTAGAATATGTTGAAAAGGAACATCATTCTTGTAAGTAGCTTTTAAAGCTTCTTAATATTCTGTATGGCAATTTAAACAGAAAGGACTTCAGACCATCTGCCTAATTCTTGTCTTAGCCTTAGAACAGTGGTTCCCAACCTTGGGTCCCCAGATGTTCTTGGACTAAAACTCCCAGCAGCCTGCACCACTAGCTGTGTGACCAGGATTTCTGGGAGTTGTAGTCCAAGAACATCTGGGGAGCCAAGGTTGGGAACCATTGCCTTAGAAGCTAGGTCAGTAGTGCAGATGGGCACCAAGGCTGGGCTGGAAAGTATAGATTTGGCTAAAGTCACCTTGTGATTTTTATAGCTAGGGCCTAATTCAGACCCGACAGTGTCATCGAAGCTAGCAAAATGAATTTGACCAAACTCCGGGTGGCAGTGGAAGACAGGAGGGCCTGGTGTGCTCTGGTCCATGGGGTCATGAAGAGTCAGACACGACTTAACGACTAAACAACAACAAATTCAGATCCATTTCTGTTCATTGTATCCTTTCAGTATTAGAAGATAAGTCTCAGAAAATCACAAGCAGGTACATAACATTTCCACATCTAATGAGTATGACATCCAACTCACACACATACATATACAGATGAAATATCTGCTGTACCAACTGTGGCATGTGAAGTAAAGGAGAATAAATAGCTGACCCTGAATATGATTGGATCTATATTTGTAGAGAATCATGTGAGTTTGCATTTTGTGTGTTCTTTGAGAACAAAGGTACTTAGAATTTGAGGATGGGAAACAGATAGACTTTCCAGTAATGTTCTTGGGTTTTGTGGTGAAGAACATGGAGGCGGAAGAGAAGAAAGTGGTCTTGTGACACAGAAACAGAGGGGGTAAGATTAGCAAAGAAGAATCCTGCAAGCATTGGCAAGATAGGGAAATGACCGATCCATGGCCATTAAATTTATGTATACTTTGGAAGTGATTTTTACACTGTCAAAGAGGGAGGAAAGAGATCTAGCTGACCAGTGAGAAACTAAAGCAAGAAAAACTATATGTATAGAAGGGGGAAATACGGTAGGTAAGAAATGAAGGTTGGGATCGTCTTTTGTTTGAGAAAGAAAAAAGAAGAAAGCCTGAGACTTAGATTGGGGTCTCACACAATGTCAAGAGAGAAATGTTTATTTAAAAACTATTTCTGTTGTTTTGGTGCTGATGTTCTATTTCTTTTCAAAGAGAGCACATTTTAATGAAGAGAACTTGGAGTGAGTTCTAAGGAAAGGAAGGAAGGAAGGAAGGCTGATTTCAGGCCCATAAAAGGCAACTACTGAAGGGGACTCTGTGTTTAGAGTTTCTTTGCAGCTGTGGATGTCAGTCCCCCGTATTACTAGCATGTATTTCCGTGCCTCAGTAGAAATCTTTGATCCAATGCTGTCCCTTTATGTGGTGGTATAGGCAAAGTATTTCTACAATTATGTTTTATATAAAGAAAAACTCTTCCCTACAACACCCCCATAAAAAAACCTACTGTTATGGATAAACATGGCCAGATATTTGTGTTCGAAGAATGCCTCTTCCAGCACCTGTTGCTTTTTGCAGAGTGAGATGAGAATGAATTTCTTTTTGGGCTACATTCTTTTTTCTCCTACAGAGCTAGAAGAAGACAGACAAGCTTAGCTAATTACTTAAGACTTCCTTAGGCTTTTTTGGAGTGGGGGGTAGCATTTTTCTTTTTTTACATTACAGTAGTTCGCACAAAGCATTTCTGAAACTTATAATGACTATACTTTACCATATCCACTCTGCAGACATATAGTGGATTTATAAGAAAAGGAGCATTTTCAGGGTGGATTTACTCTAAATCAAACTGGTTTGAATAATGATTTAAATCACTACTCGGACTCAATCCTGTGATCTCTTACAAATTTACTCCACCCAGAGTGTATTCCTGCTTGCTCCTCTTAGTGTATATTTTTCACAATGCATATTTTTCAGAATTTCCTTGTTCAGATTAAACCCATCTCCAGTAATCCTTTGTCCTTTGACATATCCAGTATCTGAAAATACACTTTCAGATAGTGGGCATGTCAGTTGCTAGAGGATTATTGAAGGTGGAATCTAACTGGGCAAGGAGATTGTGAACAATATATGTTAAGCAAGCAGGAGTGCAGTTTTTGTAGGGGACAATCACATGATTAAATCCAAATCCATTCTGTTCCTTGTCAAAGTATGCACTTTCAGTGTGAGAGAGCAAGCGAGAGATAAGGACATGGGTTTGTCTGCACAAAGTTACAAAGATAAAATAGCTAGGACTGCCATTCTAAAGGAATCAGCATCACTCATAAGGAAATTGTTGAAAGCAATTCTGGGCTTCCAGCTTTTTCCAACAGTATATAATATCAAAGAATAACTTCACTCAGAGTTGGAAAATAGGGCTGATGTCTGATCTGTTGCTTCTCACCTCCATATACTGTTGAAAACAACTGTGTACTGTGTCTTTGGAGAAACAAATCCAGTGTGAGAACTGCAGATTTTTCTGGTGATATCTGCTAGACTAAACACCAAGGCAGTATCGAACAATTAACCTAAATCTATACAGAATTGTGTGTAAGCTGGTAAACTTGATGTTCCAGTCCAAGAGGTGTTGGACCTTATTTACAAAATGTTTTGTAAAAAAAGAACATGTTGTCTCGCAGCACAGAGTTAAAATTTTTAATCTCTATTCCACAGAGGGTCGAGAAAAGAGATTCTCTTTAAAAAATGCAGGTTTGAATAATGCAAGTTTATAGTGTATTTCTTTGGACTGTAATACATTTTAAAGCAAAACTATCATGTAGAGTTTTTAAAGAAAGCATTTTAGCAATTAAAAAACCCCAAATTTAAATAAAATCCAATTAAAACTGCCTGTTTTTTTAACCTAAAAATTGTTTGTTGAATCCATGTTGAAGATTTCAGATTGCTGTTCTGAAATGTGTACGTTATGTCTGTACTTACTCTAAAAATGCTTCCTTTTTCTCCTTCAAAGAAAAGGAAACATAACAA